ATAATAAACCTCAGTCTTGAATAATGCAACCTAGCCTTGAATAATACAACCTAGCCTTGAATAAGGCATTCTATCTCTGAATAATAGAACCTAGTCTTGAATAATACAACTTATCTCTCAATAATACAACCTAGCCTTGAATAATACAACCTATCTCTCAATAATACAACCTAGTCTTGAATAATACAACCTATCTCTCAATAATACAACCTAGTCTTGAATAATACAACCTAGTCTTGAATAATACAACCTATCTCTCAATAATACAACCTAGTCTTGAATAATACAACCTATCTCTCAATAATACAACCTAGCCCTGAATAATACAACCTAGCCTTGAATAAGGCATTCTATCTCTCAATAATACAACCTAGCCCTGAATAATACAACCTAGCCTTGAATAAGGCATTCTATCTCTGAATAATACAACCCAGTCTTGAATAATACAACCTATCTCTAAATAATACAACCTAGCCTTGAATAATACAACCTAGTCTTGAATAATACAACCTATCTCTGAATAATACAACCTAGTCTTGAATAATACAACCTAGCCTTGAATAAGGCATTCTATCTCTGAATAATACAACCTAGTCTTGAATAATACAACCTATCTCTCAATAATACAACATAGCCTTGAATAATACAACCTAGTCTTGAATAATACAACCTAGTCTTGAAAAATACAACCTATCTCTGAATAATACAACCTATCCTTGAATAACACAACCTAGTCTTGAATAAGGCATTCTATCTCTGAATAATACAACCTAGTCTTGAATAATACAACCTAGCCTTGACTAGATAATGTTGTATTTGGACCCATTAATCATGAATAAATATTAAATGAATACTGATCTATAATACCCTTTCCACCACAGTGCATTGCATTACACATATTATGTATTGCTTTTGAATTTAAATTTAAAAGAATATTTGAGCAAATGAGGACTATAATACTGGTTTGCTCCTGGCAAATAAATACAAAAAGACTAAAAATTCACTAGAAATACATATTATAATTTTGATACATGCTCATAAAGCCTCAATATTATAACTATAATAAATATATAATTGTATACAGGTAAAAAATTTGGACTTTTGATTTGTAAAGAACCAAATGTCTCAGTAAAATATTTAAAAATGCTTGAAGACTTTGATTTCTGGTTTCTTAGCATTAAAGGTATGACTCTGTTTAATTATTGCTTTGTAAATTTAAAAAAAATATCATAAAAAGGTATATTTGATTATGACTAAAATTATATTTGGTTATAAGCGTTAATACTATATTTGTAAGAGGTAATTTTTGGGTAATTATCCCTTGAAAAATGGTAATACTATATATAGGGTATTTGCATTTAATTAAGACTATACTTGGTGATAAGCTCTAATACAGTCAATTTTGGGTAATTATCACTTGAAAAATTAAAAAATAAAAATTGGTAATGATGCCTTTAATAGGGCATTTGCAGTTAATGACTAAAATTATGTTTGATTAAAAGCTCTAATACTGTATTTGTATGAGGTAATTTTGGGTAATTGTCCCTTTAAAGTTAAAAAAAAAAAAAATGGTAATACTAACTATGCCTTTAATAGGGCATTTGCATTTAAATCAAGCTATATTTGATTCTAAGCTCTCAAGCTGTAAATGTAAATAGGATTTCTTCAATAAGGCACATATTTTGATTTTGGCTCCAGCTAACGTTTGATTCAAGTTCTGTCTGGATATGTTAAAAATTTCCATAATTTTGTCAGCATGGATTTCTTTTATTTTTAAGTTTATAATTATATTAAGCTGATGATTTAACTCTTCTTCAAAATTCACATTTTTACCAGAAAAAAAAATCAGTAAAAGGTTCTTGTGCACATCAGGGAGCAATTCAAAACTTGAAGGGATTGTAAAGAGTTTTTCTAAATTTTTTTGTTTATGTGTATCGGGGACACTGGTAGCATCAATTTGCACCATTCCAATTTTTAATCAGATGCCTGTGGTTCCTGCAATTCTACCAAAACTAAGTGTCTGATGACGTCACTAATTGCGAAATATGCTTTGTTACATAAGGCCCTTTGTGATTAGTGACAAACACTTAGTTTTGGGGGGAATTGCAGAAACCACAGACGTCTGATTGAAAATTGGAAGTGATCAGGTTATCCAGATACATATAAAAAATTAAGAAAAGCTCTTCACAATCCCTTTAATGGACTTCAATGGAAGTTTGCACCAAACTTCGATGAATCCAAATTATTATTGCCTGACCATACCAAACAGACTCCTTTTATGATTTTAATCAAAATAAGACCTAACTTTTGTTCTGTTTTTTATAAGCTTTCGTTATTTAATATATCCACTTCAGTTAGTTATTCAGAATAATGTTCAAGAAGGCCGTCTTTAGACCCTAACTGAAGTGCCTATATCAAAAATAAAAGCTAAAAAAAATGGAACGAAAGTTTGGTCTAATTTTAATTAGACTGCTCCTTTTATGAGATATTTTAAAGCTCAAGCTTATTTTGAGCTCATGTGGTATAAACTTACTGAGACAAAATACTGAGAAAACATGTTGAGACAGTGAAGTCTTTCTGAGACAGCTTGAGCTTAATTCTAAAATCCAATCCCTAACAAATTTTATACACTTCTTATAGTCAACAAGGGGCACAACTTCATGGGTTTCAAAGGGTCAAGATTCTTGTCCTTTTTCTGAGGCTTTTTCTTAAGTTTTTGGGATAAAAAAATAAGCTTGACCAGTTACTTTAAGAAGTTACTGCATACGCCACTTTTTAGGAAATAGACCCATAACAAGGCTTATTTCCGTCTCTCCAAAAGTCCTCCAAATATCTTTAATCTAATGAAAGCCAGATATTTTCCTGAATGCATTCAATTGTGACCAAATACTTGAAAAAAAGCTTATTAGCTTAAAAAAAAAAATAACACAATCATCCTTATAGCATAAATGTGGTCTGAAGCCTGGCCTATCAAATGTAGTTATGCCCCTTGATCTATTATTTAAACTGCTAAAGGATGTTGTCCAGATTGGACCTGGAAGGCTTGATAGTCATCTAAGACGTTTCGGAATGACTCCACACAAACATCACCTTTAGGGTGACTGGCAGCAGCTATATTGTACACATCTTCAAGAGTTTGTCCTGTCATTCTTACTCCAATACCTTCAAATATAACCTTTAGCTGAAACAAAAACCAAAATATCACTGCAAATCTAGACTTTTTGTTTGTGTTTTTACTGTGGGTGATTTAACTCACCATCCATGATCTGACAAAATTGTATGCATATCCGGTTCTGAGTCATTTAAATGCTCTGCTGTATAAATAATTTCAAGTTCTTAGAAATTTTGACAAAGACTGGTTGCCCAAAATAAAAAATAAATTCTGTAATGCTTAAAGATTTTGAAAAAAATCGGAGTTACCTCTTCTAATGATCGTGGAATTAGAAAATCTCTCTCATAGATTCCCTTGCTACTATAAATAGATGGGTTCAACAGTCCATAGCAATCGGATTCCTCACCATAGTTGTTGAGATCGTCAATACGCCGTGTTCTCGGGGCTGGTAAATCCATTCTGATGGTTGGAACACCATACGTTCTGTAATCTGAACAAAAATATTGGTTGGTTTATCAGAAAAAAAATACAAGCCAAATTTGCGTTCACAAAGAATCCTTTTTAAAAGCTGGTCCATGGTCTTTCCCAGATTAACTGATACTCAGTTACCATTGGGTCGACTGGAATTATTACCAATGACCACTTTTTAGAAAATGTGCTACATGAATATTTTTTGATGAACATTAATTTACACTGAAATATGAGACCTACAAATTAGACCAATTTACACAAATTTACTAATAAACCAGGGATCTGCGGTGGTTCAGTGAGTTAGACGCTAGCTCGCTAACCTGAAGGTCCAGGGTTCAATCCCAGCATAGGTCGAGATAATACCTTCTTTTTTTCAACCCGGTTTCCCCCTGTCAGTGATGCAGGTACGAGGGACTCACATGGAAAAAGTGTCTAGTCGTAGGATGGGACAATAAACCGAGGCCCCGTGTGCTATGTTCAAGATCCCTGTTCAAGATCCCTCGACAGTTGGAAATCGAAAAAGAGCAGGCTAATACTGCTGTCCTGGCAAAATTTCCCTCATTGCACCCTGCATGGCGTTGCCCGTCTTCATTAGCCACATGGTGCAGAAACTCCATTCATTTCATTTCACTTACTAATGAACCAAATTATTTAATAAGAAGATGGGGAGGAGGATGGGGAAGAGGATGAGGATGGGGAAGAGGATGAGGATGGGGAAGAGGATGGGGATGGGGAAGAGGATGGGGAAGAGGATGGGAAAGAGGATGAGGAAGAGGATTGGGGACATTCGTTTGCATACCTCTAGTGGAAACGCCACCAACCACCGCGTTGATCATACCAGCACTAGTTTTATGGTTGCCAATAGCTCGGTCTATCTGTTGTTTTAATCGACGTGGTGTACTACCAGAATTCTGGGCTGTCTTCTGATCAAATTCACCACTGATCTCTTTCTTCAGATCTGAAAAAGTCCAAATTTTAGGAAAAATCCTAGTACCCAATCACATATCGATTTCCTTGCCTAAGTAAGCTCACCCTTTCTAAGTTCAACACTGTGCTGAAGTAGATAAATTGTGTACTACGTCATCACTTTCTGTTGTAGCAACCATAACACTAAACAAACTCAAATCAGTTTCTCTGGAAGACAATCCTCACACATACCAAGTTGTATTTCAATTTTCTTATTGCTTGTCAGAATGAAATTTTGGCATGTGTTTTGTCTACAATTAAGGAAGACATTCGAGAAGAAGTCTATGTTCATGTAGATGGCACAATAAAAGAAATATCTCAGATCTGCATGGTAACTTATCTTGAAAGATAAAACTATCACCCCTTCCATGGTACTTCCCTTTAATTGTAGATAAACCGAATGCTGATTTTTCAATCTGAAAAGTGATGCAGGTGAAATAGAGCTCCAACAGCTAGCAAAGCTAAAAAAAAGCCAACAAAGTAAACATACCAGGTTTATCAGCAAAGCCAGATTCCATTTTGTCTTTCCAGTTTAAGAAATTAGAAAATTCTATATAGTCTATTTTACCATCCCGGTTGGCATCACAGAAATCAAAGACCTGTTCCAACATCTCTGGTTCCAGGGGAAGATGGAACTCTACACAGACTTCTCTTAATCCATTGATATCTATCTTTCCACTGCAATCCTGGAATATAAAAGCCAAGTTTTACACCCTATCTCGAATACATACAGAGTATTGCCCCTTTCTTTCTAGAATACAAATTGAAGAGTTGTTTAAACCATTCTTGAATACAATTGGAACCTTACACCTGATCTAGAATACAAAATCTAGATAAGTAATCAAACGTTAGTCTCAGAAACCAGAATTGATTATACAAAATCTAGAAAAAAAACTGAATTTAACATCCTTCCTAGAATACAAATTGGAGATTTACAATTGAGTTACCTAAACGATTCTAGAATACAATTGGAACATACACCTGATCTAGAATACAAAATCTAGCTAATTAATCAAACCTTAGTCTCAGAAACCAGAATTGATTATAATTTCAAGTTTAATATTCTAGAATACAAAATCTAGAAAAAAAATTGAATTTTTCACCTTATCTAGAAAACAAATTGAGTTGTTCCAGCTTTCTAGAGTACAATTGTAATATTACAGCTTGACGACTAAATATAAAAAATAGATCCCACGATATCTAAATTAACTAGAATTTAAGAATAAACTTTTTTATCTAGACCCTTTCTAGACTACAAATTGAGTATTATAGACCTTATTCACGCCTTGCTTTTTAGACTCTGCAAGCCAGGTTCATAACACAAATTACATCATCCATTGATAAGATGGCGCTGTATATGAATGAATTGCCTAGATCTGACGTCACCTGATCAACTTCGAGAAAATGGGCTTAAACTTGCCCTTTCTCAGAAATATACGAGGGTAAACTTCATCTGAAAGTATCATTAAATGGCTTAATCAATCTGTAAGATGTAAAATATGATTAATTTTGAGTTGGTGGGATTGGAGAAGGAGGTTTAAAAACGTCAAATGATTTGAAATGTAGCAAACCTTATCGTAGAACCTAAAGGCTGCCAACAAATCAGGAAAATTATGGTAGTTGACTTTCTTTAGATGTTGTCGTGCTGCCGCTACAACACCTCTCTGTTGATCTCGACCCCTCAGATACGAACCAGGGACACGATTATGTAACAAGTCACCGGCACCATATTGGTCTGGTTTCAATAAAACACCAAATGTATGATCAGCTGGTACATTAAGCGTGTCTTTAATACTGTAATAAAAATATATAAAGTTTTATATTCGGCTATTCTGTAGCTTTTTAGAATAATTACGGTAATTGATTAAAGGGACAGATTCAGTCGTTTGACCAATCATACTTTAGTCTCAGAAACAGGAATTATTTAGCTAAGCTAATCAGTAATAGTATTCACAGCTCACTGTCGAAATTTGAGCCTTTAAATCCATGTGTATCCAGAATTATCTGGATGTTAGAAAGTTAAAATGACGAAAGTGAAATTTCTAGTTTGAGGTATTTGTGAAAGAATTATGCTATTTTGTACATTTCTTGTAGGTTACTTCTGAAGATTATTTACATTTATTCAAAACTCAAATTAACCCCCGAAAATGGCACACCTGTCCCTTTAAATACTCTTTTCCTCTTTTGACATTGGACCTTTTACAGCTAAAAAGCACTTATTTTTTAGTGTCAAATTAAGCAAACTATTTGATTAATTGGTATTTCTAATGAATTATCATGTATTCTTAATCATATCATTATTTTGTTATTGCATATAAATAAGAGTTTTAACCAATCATAAATGTTTCAGAGAGTTAAAGATGTGTTTCCTTATTTTTTAGTGTCAAATTAAGCAAATTTTTTATTGATTGGTGTTTCTAATGAATTATCATGTATTCTTAATCATTATGTTCTTATTGCATATAATTAAGCATTTTAACCAATCATAAATGTACAGTCTGTATAAACAAAAAAGTACTTTTTGACCTTTCTTGATCGGTCACTCATTAGAATTCTGCTGGTAATTTTCTTCTATTTTAGCTAATTATAAATAAATTATGGACATGTGAGACAAACTGGTATTTTTCCAAGTCATTAGAACACCTCTACTTTCTATTCATATAAGTATTAGCATTTTCATTTTCATAAATGAAAATAAGGGAACCCATCTTTAAATATATCACAAAACCAGACTGAAACATTAAAAAAACATGTACCTAACTGATTCAAAATTTTAACTATGGTAGACTATTGAACTTCTTCAATCTAATATAAATGCGGGTGCTCATCTGGGGACACCAAAATGAGTTTCTGATATAAAAGATTCATCAGGATAGCTAGTTTTGGAAATGAAGGTTAACTATTCACTTTTAGTAGCCTACTTACGGATCATGGACTCGGCCCAATTGAGATTGAGTTCTCTCTCTAAAATTATCCACCCTTTGAGAAACAATCTTTGACGTCTGGTCATCCTGTTGGAGCCATTTTAGCGTCTGTCGAACCTCTTTACCATCGTTACTATGTGGCGTAGGAATACCATAACCTCTGTTGATATCGAAACTGGGACAAGTATAGTTCCGCCTGACTCTCTCACCAACGTCAAAATTAGCGTGAGTTTTAACGTAGAGATCATGGCCGACAGAACTCTCGTCTTGAACTTGTTGGTAATTTTTATCGGGGTTTATTAATCCACCAGCACCAATATCTGAAATGTTGAATATGTTCGTGTACCAAACGATTTAAGTTGTATTTAAACAGATTCTGAAAATTGCATGTGTATCAGGGACACTGACAGCCTAAATTTGCACCATTCCAATTATCAATCAGAAGTGGTTCCTGCAATTCCACTAAAACTAAGTGTTTGATGATGATATCAACTGCAAAATTATCAAAGAAGGCCTTTCGCTATAAGTGACATCATCAAACACTTAGTTTTAGTGGAATTTCAGGAACCACAGACGTCTGATAAAATATTGGAATGGTGCATATAGATGCTAGCAGTGTCCTCTATCAGACAAAAAATTTAGAAAAGCTCTTAATCCCTGTTAAGTACTAACATTGCGCTTTAAGCTCCAGGCAAGAAATGGCTTTTTAGGGCCTACAGTTTTTGACCTTATTAGACTTTTTGGTCTCACTGTTCTCCAATCTATAGGGCTGAGAGCCTCTTGAAATGTTTTCTAAGCATTGTTTTATTTTCTTCAAATATTCAAATCTTACCTAATTCAGTAGGAAGACCAAAAGTAAAATAGTCAGTATTCAGATTTTGTGGCAAACCTGGACGCTGATCATGTGACTTGCCAAGAGGACCTTTGGCAATGCTGGCATAAACATTTTCTTTCCTATTTGCTAGGCGCTGTTGGAATAATGTTTTGGGATTCGGGTTCACAAGAGTTTCAGCTTTATTGGAAGACTGGGTTGATACTCCGTGAGTCATGCTGGCTGCCCATTGAAGATGTGGATCATTGGCTCTTCCATGGAAAACTCTTTTGAACCCAGCATCAGGCTGCCAGGAAGCTCGGAACTTTCTCACAACATCTGGACTGAGAGGCTGAAATTTAAACAAATAGAAGTAAAAATGAGAGCTAATGGTCTATAAAAATAATCTAGCGAAAAAAGAAAACAACCATAATTTAGCTTTTTGCAACTCGTCTGATGCTGTTGAGTTAGCATGGTTGAAAGGTTACAAGCAACTCTTCACAGCAGCACTGGCACAGGGTTTGGGTGTCACACTAGGAAGACCATCCTTACTCTTTTCAAGACACCTGGATGGTACTTCTCTTTGGAAATGAAATGAATGGAGTTTTACGTCCTACGTCTCTGCACCATATGGGCTAATGAAGACGGGCAACGCCATGCAGGGTGCAATGAAAGAAATTTTGCCAGGACAGCGGCATTAGCCTGCTCTTTTTCGATTTCCAACTGTGGAGGGATCTTTAACGTGCACAGTCTGTAGCACACAGGGCCTCGGTTTATTGTCCCATCTAAACGAATAGACACTTTTTCCATGTCAGCCCCTCTTACCTGCATCACTGACAGGGGGAAACCGGGTTGAAAAATCCGAAGGTATTATCTCGACCTTTGGCGGGATTGAACCCTGGACCTTCAGGTTAGCGAGCAAGCGTCTAACTCACTGAGCCATCGTGGCTCCCTATTTCTCTTTGGAGGAGTCCACTATCTTACAACTTAAGCTCCAGATTTTGCCTTTATTTTTGATTGACAGAATTGTCTTGCTTGTATGGATTTTTAGCAGTGTTCACTTGGATCTACGAAAATGTTCAAATGGAAATTGTTATCTCAAGAAGAAAAGGTATGAAAATCCTATGCCTGTGTCAGATTATGGTAGGCTATTAAAACACATTTGAACTTACCCGATTAATTTTTGGCCTAAAACATAATGCAGTTGAATCACCAGAGGCAGTCAATTTCCCAGCCTGAAATTAAAATTTTTAAATTTGAAAAAAAAAAAGTTTTGAAAAAATATGAGATTGCCCAATCAACCTTACCTGGCCATGTATTCTCTGAACGATCTTAGTGCTAGGATGTCCTAGAATCAATATTAGAAGATGAGAACCTAGGACATCCTAGCGCTAAGATCGTTTCGAGAATACGTGGCCTATATCTATATGATTAATTTATTTTCATAAAAATTTATTAAAAATAAAGCCAAATTAAAGATAAGACCAAGCTTTTATTCTGTTTTTAGTACCGGCAGCTTTTATTTTTATGTCGTCACTTCAGTTAAGGTCTAATGACAGCCCTCTTGAACATTTGTCAAGTTAACCTTTCGACCTAACCTAATAAACACCTCGCTGGAGAGGGTAGAAATTTGATTGGTTAAAGCAGATGTCATCGAGTCAAGAGGGCTGGCATAAGACCCTAACTGAAGTGACTATTTAAAAATAAAAGCTATTAAAAAAGGGAACAAATGGTGGTCTAATTTAAATTAGATTAAAAATAATCATTATATATTAACAACAACATGCAAAGAAAAAATCTCTACATAAACATTAGTTAAAAGCATGTGGAAAATTAAATAGATCTTACCAACAATAAACCCACAATTGACATTGTTGGCTTGTGTATGCTTATCAAAATTTGTTCTACGTCCAAGCCCAAAGAATAAAATTCGACAAAACTCTGGTCTAGTAAAAAAAAAGTGAGAAAAAGGCATAACCCTTACTTCTGATAAAAAAAAATTGCAATACTTACTGGTTGAATGTCTGGGCTCCAATCCTTTATCTTATTTGCATAAACACTTTGTGTTTTTATCATTGGAAGATGTACCGCCGACGACATTTTCTTTTCAAATTTGAAATTTGTCCAGTGAAATTTATATTTCCAAACAAGAATATGCAAATATTTCGGAAACTTCCTTCTATAAAAGTAGCGAAATGGCCAAAGGTTATTTTATTCTATTTGTTTCCAGAAATTTAGAATGAAATGCACCAAAGAAACATAGTAAAACTTCGAGTTTTTCAGACTGCCCCTGTTCTTCTGCAAATTTTCTCGTCCATCGATTGTTTACATGACCTTAGCAACAGTCGGGTCAAGGACGTCACTAGTTACATAGGTGAAGGTCGTTTGCTATTTAGAGTTATCTCTCATTGTTTAGGATCAGACTACAAATATTTATCAATAATTCTCCACGAATATTGACGGTCTTAGGGAATTTGAATTAATTTTGAATGTCAGCCTTTTGCTCGATTGCGATTCACTTTATATTGAATTTGTCAGACTACTGCAAATAAGTTTGTCTTCTGTAGAAACGGACTGACAAAGGCCTACAATAATCGATTTATTTGAAAGTACATTTTACCGCAATGTTTTTCATTTGAAGGTATTTGCTTTTAGATTTTGTTTTCGAGTTCTTTAATCATTCGTTTTATTACTCGGTCAGTAGATTAAATTTTATTTCAGCTATCCGTATGACCTTTCAATATGGAAATATGAAACTTATCGTTTGTAACTGTAAGTACGGAAACGTTATCTCAAAATCCTAAGACGATCTTAATTCCCCGGTAAAGTAACAAACTCTGGAGATCTGATTATTAGATAGGACAAGAAAGATGCGTATTGATAATGCGAAGATTTCCGCATGTGGACTTTTCTTGGCTAATTATTATATTATTTATAGGTCTTGGGAATTATACACAGGTCTATTCGTCTTGTTACGTGAGCTAAACATAGTACGGTATAAAGTTTTATAGACGTATAATAAAAAAGCTTTTTTTTATATTGAACTATTAATTTAAATATATTTGTCAAACTCTAATCGCTAACAGTGTTTGAATATCAGAGGCTATTTTAAGGGATGCGTCATTTGAAAAAGAAATCCCTAAAGTCTTGACCTTTACATATATTTATATAAGATTTCGGGACAAAATTTCTTTATTTTGATGAGCTTAGATGTATTAATGTACAATGACGTCACTCCAGCGCACGCACTTGCTTTTCATCAGATGACATTTAATATCATTCCGCTTGCCGAATACGGAATTAAATGGGAATTTAAGAAAATTTGAGGAATACTTTTAAGAACTCTGTTTGCTTTCTGACAAATTTTTAAAAATATATGCAGCGTGGCAATGTTTTAATTACTCAAGAAGTGAGAACTATATCGTCCGCGGAGGAGTTTCCTGTTGTACATACATTAACTCAGCAGAAGAAAGAGGGTGTTTCTGCGTAGTTTCGACCAATTATTTTGTATTTTCTGGCCCTTTTTGCTCAAATTTATCCAAATAACCCAAGGATAGGCTTAAGCCTTCATTTGGTAAGTATTTTTTCGATATTTTTCTGAATCACACTTGCTTGAAAACATAAATATTTGGTGGAACAGACGATGTTTTTGCAAAATGGCTGCCATTTTCCCCTGGAGCCTTCCGTGTTTACATGTTAAAAAATCATAAAATAATAATTTATGGCTTGTGAAAATACTTAACTTTTGATAATTCAAGGTTTCACCTTCATTAATCATTAAAGCAATCGAGTTTTCTTTCGCTTACAGGGTGAGAAACTTAGGAAATAGCGGGTGCCTGTGGTAACTGTCATTCTTGCAATTCTATTCTATTTCTATATGTGTAAATCTCATCGTCATCATCGCTCTCAATGGTTTCATCTTTATACTAGCCAATTAATCAAGCTTACTGCCACTGTGTGTCAATCACTAGTCAATGTTTATTATAATAACATTATTATAGTAGATTAATATAATAAGGTCATATCATGAAAGGTGTCTGCTGTTGTACATCATTTACTTACTGAGTGATAGTTTTGTCACTGTTAGACTATGATGTCATTTGCCAGACTCAGTGACACACATTTAACAGTTTTAACAATGACACTGCAAATTTGTAAGTACTGTCAAGGACAAAACGCATCCCAAATTAGCTTAAAACTAGGCAGGGGTATTTTATAATCTCAAAAACTTTCAACTATGCTAGTAAGTAACTAAATTTTGAATAACATATTTTGCAAGACATGATTTTCAAAACCATCTTTCAGACAAAGATAAATAATACATATTTGATTGATGGATGAGTTGTTTTTCTTGAAAGAGGGTTATTGTTGCTTTTGCTGGACTTTGTATCAATATTTAAGATTATGTGTAATAGCATGACCTCATAGGAAGCCTCATTGACATGCCAATAGAAAGGGTGAATTATGTTTTCTATTGTCATAATGACAAACCAATTCTTAGAAATAGGGCTTTTGAAATGTACTTTTGAAAAGTAACCAATTATCTTGATAGTTAACACATATGCTTGGTGGAGACCTTTAATGTCCTCTAAGATCAGATTCAGTAAATTCAAAATAGAAAATTTAACCAATAAGCAATTGATATTAGAATTCTATATCGTATCACAAGAAGATACTATAATTTATAGGAAAACTTTAATTGTACAGTGAAAGGCAAGTCTAAACTCAAACTGTAGACGAAATATTTGATTTCTCAAATTATCGAGGAATACTGTAAGCTTATTCCAAGGAGAAACATAAAACCATGATTTAAAGTTTGTATTTCGGCGATGGAAGGATTTGAATTGTTGAACAGCTTGTTTATGTTTATTGCAGGAAGTTGTCAAGTGAAAGCAGTTTTTTGTTTAGTAATATCTGATAGCCTCATTTCGTAATGGCTAGTCGCGGGGCCGGAGCTCAACGCCCAAATGGAGCAACCCAAGGAAAAATATGTCAATTTAAACTAGTGTTACTAGGAGAGTCAGCTGTTGGAAAATCTAGTTTGGTGTTAAGATTTGTGAAAGGACAATTCCATGAATACCAAGAATCAACTATTGGAGGTAAGGATAGTTTTTGTGAATCCTCATAAGCAGGGTTCAATATAGGTGGTATCTCATCGCAGTTTGTGATTCAAAATAACCCCCTTTGCATCCAATATTTCCTATGACTAGCCAAAATTAAGATTTATCAAGACATGGAACATTTAAATAACTACCGATTTTTAAGAAATGTGAATTTGATTAGCCAAAACTGAAATTTTTTGGTGATAATTGCTGATCAAATATTTCAATATATATTGAACCCTGCTCCTAAGGGTTTTAAAAAGAGAACCTTTGTGTATTTGCAGCACATGATTTATCAGACATAAGGTCATTCTGGTCATACATTGTTACCGAAATACTGAAAACAGTTACATATGCGCTGACAACAAATTGAATCCAGTATCTTTGCTAAATTGTTCACTCTATTGCCTTTTTTGGCCCATTTTTAAGTATAGTTACCTTGAATTAATTATGTAAAAGGGTACAACATTTGTTAAAACGTGTACTGGGTACGTCAAAGTCTCTCAGTATGTGAATGAAGAATTAATTGTCTTGACTTGGTTGACTTCACTCTTAAATGTCACTCATTGTTTAGTTTTACTTGGATAAGATACAGCAAGATCAAAAGATAACTGAGGCTTTTTAATGTTGTAAGGGTTTCTGATCTGGTTGATTTTACCAGTCATGTCTGACTAACAATCAAGGTTTTTGATTTACCTGTCAGGTCATCTAGGCTGTTCATTGGACCATACTTACCAGTCATGTCTGACTGAAACTTCACTTTATTTGTTAATCCCATTTGAACTAAATTTGGAATTTGAATATTATGTACTTGATAAAAAAAGCTTAAAAACTTTGATTTATCGTCTTCAAATATCAGCAACCACTCCGATTATAGTATATTATTTATTTTATCCTTATTCCTTTTCTAGCTGCATTTTTAACACAGACAGTATGTTTGGATGACACGACAGTCAAATTTGAAATCTGGGATACTGCAGGACAAGAAAGATACCATAGTTTAGCTCCCATGTATTATAGAGGAGCTCAAGCTGCTATTGTTGTTTATGATATTACCAATCAGGTAAGGGGACAGAACTTCCCTTGTTTACCCTATCATTTAAGGGATGCGGTCGTTGAAAAAATCCTTTTCAGCTAACTTTAAATGTCCTGTGTTTCCTCTATCAATGAAAGGGATATTGTTGTTTGATTTATTTGATTTAGTGGCGGAATTTTAACTACAGCTATTATTTTATTGTTTCTCAGGTTCTGTATGATGCAGATAGTAAAATCCCGATAAAATTTTTTCCAAATTACACTATTGAATTTACCCATTTTCAAAAAACAATTTTAGTCAAAGTTTGAGAAAAATTCTCCTTTTATTTCATTAGTCTGATTTGATACATAAAACATAAGAAAAAACTGCAATTAATTTCCCTTTTGTTTAAAATTTTCAGGACACATTTGGTCGAGCCAAGACTTGGGTGAAAGAATTACAGAGACAAGCCAGTCCCAATATAGTGATAGCTCTAGCTGGAAACAAGGCTGATTTAGCTAACAAAAGAATGGTAGAATTCGAGGTAAGGATTGGAGAATTTTCATTAGATTGCCTCTTCAGTGAGGGAACTTTTTGTGTTCATATATATAAAGTTGAGAATAATTTTAATGATGGACATGAATTCACAATTAAATTGTTAAAATAAGCAAATATAATAGGATTTAGCTACGGTGGCTCAGTTTGTTAGACGCTTACTCGCTAACCTGAAGGTTGGGCTGATATCTTCGGATTTTTCAAACTGGTTTCCCCCTGTCAGTGATGCAGGTCTCTAGTTATTAGGATGGGACAATAATCAGAGGCCCCATGTGCTTCAGGCTATGCAGGTTAAAGATCGATCAACAGTAAGAAATTGGAAAAAGAGTTGGCTAATGCCACTTTTCTGGCAAAATTACTCTCCTAGCACACTGCAATGGGTTGCCCGTCTTCATTAACACACAAAACTCCATTCATTACATTTCACTTTTGAAGCAAAGGGTTAATAAGTTCATCATCATCTTATTTTGTTGACTTATCATTGATATATTACAGGAAGCTCAAGCCTATGCTGAAGAAAACAGTTTACTTTTTATGGAAACCTCTGCAAAAACTGCGATGAATGTAAATGATATCTTTTTGGCAATAGGTAAGAAGTCATTAGATAATTTTTAACATCAAAACCCACTGGTAAAGTTTGAAAACAATGTTATCTTTCTTAATGGTTGTGATGAGAAAAAAAGATAACAAACTGTGTGTCAGTTAAATTTAAAAAAAAAGAGAATACTATACTCAGTAGCATATTTAAGGAGGGCCATTGTGAAGTGAAAATGAACCCCCTAAATTCATCTCAGGCCATCTGAAATCCTTGGCTTCTGTCGGCAGCCCCCTGTCCTCCGGCCTCATGGGACTTTGGCCCTTGGGGGCTCACTTTGGAGAAACATCTCATTTTTGAACTCCCCCTCAAACATTTCTAGATACAGAGTTCCCTTGTATTATGGCAAACATAAGAAGCTCTATAAGTAGAATGTAAAGCTCCATTTCATTTATGGGAGCCGCGGTGGCTCAGTGAGTTAGATGCTTGCTCGCTAACCTAAAGGTCCGGGGTACAATCCCGGCATAGGTCGAGATAATACCTTCGGATTTTTAAACCCGGTTTTCCCCTGTCAGTGATGCAGGTGAGAGGGTCTGACATGGAAAAAGTGTCTAGTCGTTCGGATGGGACAGTAAACCGAGGCCCTGTGTGCTACAGGCTGTGCACGTTAAAGATTCCTTGGCAGTTGAAAATCAAAAAAGAGCAGGCTAATGCCGCTGTCCTGGCAAAATTTCCCTCATTGCACCCCGCACGGCATTGCCCGTCTTCATTAGCCCACATGGTGCAAAAAAGTAGGACGTAAAACTCCATTCATTTCATTTCATTTCTGTATTACAGCCAAGAAATTACCGAAAAACGAGGCTGGAGGTGGAGCAGCTCAACAAAGACAAGCTGGTGTGCGACTAAACAATGACTCAAATCAACAATCAGAAGGAGGAAGCTGTTGTAGCAAGTAACAAGGCCTGTCATTGGTGCATATTGTCATGTGATCAGACATTTGTCCAATCAGAGACCTTTTCACAAAAACTTGTGTGTGATGTACTGTTCTTGGGTGTATGAATTCACGGCTACTATTGAAATGTGACAATTTTTATCGTCAACAAGTGATAGAAATTCTCGACAAGGTGGACTCACAACTTTAACCTTTATAAGATTTTCTGCAGAATCACCATAATCAATCAACACTTCTGTCAAATTTTGTCAGCTTTTAAAATTTGTGAGTTAGAAATGCACTTAGGTATTTGACTTGATAAGATACAATTTTACTGGTTGATCAGAATATATTCTTATTTTCGATTGGTCGAAATCTATCTTTTTTGATTGGTCAAAGTTTATTCCTTTGATAGGTCAAATTATATTCTGAATTTTGATTGGTTATGATTTTTTTTTATTTTGATTGACAGGAATATATTTGGGTACAGATGAAACAAAAGGGTGGGGTGGGGATGTTAATATTAATTTTTACTAAATGCTTGTACATTGTAAATTAAGTATGCAACAAATTGTTATTTTTTTTTTTTTTTTCTTTTTCATTATTACCCTCCATTTTGCTTACATATTTGTCATGGAATAAATGAGGTTTGCATCAGGATATGGAATGAGGCAGTCCATTTGCTGATATGGGATATCAATATTTGGTTTACAAGCTGATAACAGTACAGTTACTTGTGTCTCTTTTTATAATGAAAATCTGACATGCTATTCTTCTACTATTTAATGAAACAAATCAGCAGATGTGATAAGTTTGGTTTGGTTTAAAAACCAATTTTGAATTGGGTTTTGGAGACGGTAAAAACACATAATAGAGAGAACTTAAATTATATTTCCTCTCAAATTAACTGTAGGCTAAACAACTGTTAGCTAGCTTGATATATTTTGTTTTGGTTATGTTTCTGTTTAACAGATTGGTCAAAATTCAGTCAAAGTTTTGCTTTTGTTTATTGTTTAAATGTTAAGTAAAAGCTTTGTTTATAGGGTTATTTTTTTGTTTGTTGAATAATCTAGATATTGAAATATTTTTAAGTATCATATTTAAGAAATTCATCCATCTGATTGAAATACAGCTTTGCATATTTGGTTTCATTTTTTTTTTGGTATCTCTTGTAGTGAGTTTTTCTACCCTGAAAGCTGTTTTAATTTGAATAGAAAGAAATTTGACAAATTCAACTTATAGAAGGCAGGGTTCATATTATATTGGTAAATACGCATGGTCTAGTTAGTAAGTTAATATAACACTGTTCAATATTGTTCTTCAAAGGAGAGTTTTCTAGTCTTTAGTCTGGCACACGAACGGTCTTGGTCGCCTGTTTTTGTCACTGTCTAGAGCCTTGTAGAGAGTTTCACCAACCGGATGCAGGCACACGAGGAGACAAAAACTGTGTTGATAATCACGCCCAGATCATACAATTAAAAGGAAATTGAATCTGATTGGATGATAAACAATATGAAACTGGTTTGATAATATAAATCCTGTCGGCCACGCGGTAATCATGTCTTGGAAGCGTGAAATTTTACTCAAGATTCACGTTGGCATCAGACATCAGAATGGTGTCAATATAGGCTATATGTGTTCCTTATATGCAAGGGCTAAGAACTTCTTATAATTTTCTTTTATAACACAGTGTTATTAATACCTGCTCGCTTACTGATGGAAAAAATTCTTCTCCAAACCCTTGCCTTTCATTAGAAGAATTTGTTTTAAGTTTCTGAATTTCTGCCATGAAAATAACAAGTGAACTGTGCACAGTAACATAATGTAAAATAAGAAAAAAACGAATTGTACATATTTTGTGAAATCTGTAAGTAAAGATGTTAATATATATGTAATTACCACATTTCCCATTTCTTTAAATCTGTTTTAAATACAGCTCTTCAGATTTTGTTTCATTTTTTTCTGTGGGTTACTTTGTTTATTCTAGATATTATAATGTCCGAGCTTGATGCTCGCTGTGCGAACTGTTCAAATTTTTGAAAGAAGACATTCAGCTCAAATAACTCAGAATTTGTTTCAAATTAAGCTTTTACTGAACAAAGGATTTGATTGGTTGAAACTCATGAACATAATTTCTTTTAAATGTCTTTAGATCTTGAATGAGTGGAATAACCCACAACAAATAGATGGAACAAAATATTGAGAGCTGTATTTTAATCACATATGATTTCTTTGTTTCCAGCTTTGTCTGTACATTTTATTCTAAAGCGTCAGTTTGGTCTGGAACTCTGATTGGTCAATCTTCGAAATACTGCCATTTCATTGGTCAATCTTCAAAATACTGTCATTTGATTGGCTGGAAATGGATTGGACAATTTTTAACTGTTATTTGATTGGTCAGCCTAATTATTCTATTTACCAGCTTTTGAATTTAGTTTGGCTGAAATAGGCTGAAGTGTAAACAAATTATGTAAACAAATAATGTACACAAATTTTGTAAACAAATGATGTAAACAAATTTAAATGACCCTTGGAAATTGTAAAAAATTTCAGTAGTACAAAAGATTCTTTGGTATATTGGAGAACAATTCAATACAGGCAATTCTCTGTATTTGAAAGTATGGCAAAACATACAGGCATGGCATGCATGTCCGTCGTGTAGAGACCTCTTGTGATTACCGTGTCTATGGTCCTCCGACTTTCAAATTCTTTTTCACTTTGCATAGTGAAAGCATTGCCTGTGCCCACTCTCTGGAAAACTATGTGGTCACTGCTCGGCCCCCTCACTTAATGTTTCCTAGAAACGCCACTGCCTCCAGTTTATATTAGAGTTGTCGCAGATGTACATGAATATATTTGCCCCACTAGATTAAAAGTGATGCTAGTTGTACAGTGTAGAAAAGTTGTTGTGTTTTGTAGGCTTTTGTTAAAAATAGCACTCATGGTGAAAAGTTCATATAAAAAACAATTAATGATAACTTGTTTCTTTGCTTTGGGCTATACGTATGCTAATTATGGAAATCTATTGAGATGAGAAAGCTCTTCACAGAATAAAAAAAAAATAACAATAAAGGCTGTTCAAACTTCTGAACTTTTTTCGTTACTGCTCTATACAGTCATCTCCATTGTTAGATTTGAATCATGTAAGGGCAGAATTAGTGACTCATAAACTTGATTAAGTCTATTTTAGTATTGCAGTCATCTGATTGGTCATTCACTAAAATTGATTTTTATTAGCCAATCAGAATACTGTAGGCCTAATACTGATCACCAAACTTAATTTGAATTTACTTACCAATTGGATAACTGTATTTCCTAAACTAAACTGAATTTAGTGTTCTAGTCATCTGATTGGTCAATCATTAAACTGAAACTCAAATTTACTTGTATCAACCAATCAGATAACTGTATTACTATAAATGAGAGTAAGAATTATGTCTAAGTTAAGTTTTTGTGAAACGATGCCAAGAGTTGCTGCCCTTGTTTCTATAATAGTTATGGTATTAATCCTGTATGTATTTAAGTTAAAATATAACTATGTATAATGTATATTTGATTTTCGTTCCTTCCACCTAATAACAAGATAACTAAGACTTATTTAATTTGACTAACTTGAATTCTTAAGTTTCTGAAATCTCAAATCTTTAATTTTACTGTGAAGAATTTCTAATCTTTGAAATTAGATTTGAAAAGAAATTATTGAGAACTTAACTTAATAGTTGCAAAATATATTTTCCACTTTAGAGTTGAAAATCACAAGGGCACAGTGATGCTATGTTGAAAGATGTCAGTTTTAATTGATAAGTTGAATTTGTGTTTAGATTTGTTAGATCAGGAATGAGTTGTTTTTTAACTATTGGCTATAGCCTTGTCTGAGTAGAGTTAACGAACTCATTGAACAGGAGAAATCTTCTTACATCTTTCTTGATAAATTGATCTTATCCTTGTGGACAATGATCAAACTGAGCTAAAAGGATACTACCTCTTACAATGGACAACAATTGTATTTATTCATCAGTTGGACCTACTAGGTACCATGACTAAAGAATAGAATCTCTATATAACACGATACATCCATTAAACTAAATGATAATTGAAAAACTCTTCTAAGCATGTTTCAAAATAACTTATTACTTAGTTTTATGGCTTTATTGGATTAAAGAGGGATTCTTTTGTAAAGTCCACTGATGAACAAAGACTCATTTTAATCAAGTTTCAAAAATTTTGAGTCATCTTAAGAGGTAGTATACCTTTAACTGGGGAGTGAGCTAAAACAATCTTCATAACTGATAACGGTCTTAACAGTATTGAGATATCCCTACTGATCTTGTATCTATACTGACAATGGATTTTTAACCGCTGAAACATATGATCAAACTATGGCAACTCGCTGAATAGGAGTGAAGGGGAAATAATAACTATGTATTGTAATATTGAATAAAGATGTACATATGAATTTGATTATTATTTCTGCATCATGGCGACATCATTCAAAACTTTTCACCGAAACTATTATTATTATTATTATCATTATTATACAAATTTTAGGAAAATAAATAATATATTAAAACTATTTCTTATTTGTGTTTCCATTAGCAGTTACATATCATTAAAAGCAATAAAATTTCCAAAAGAAACAGAAACCTCATCATTCGCGTCATCATTTTGCAATCTGCAGGATCGCCATCATTCTGTATTCTGCATGATTGACATCATTGTCGGCAACCTATCATCATCGTCAGCGTCCTTTCATCAACATCGTCATTCTGTTCTCTGCTTGATTAACACCATCCTTTCATCATCATCGTCATTCTGTCATCTGCATGGTTAATATCATCGTCATCATCCTTTCACCAACTGCGTCATTCTGTAGTCTGCTATGATTATCATTGTCATCATCCTTTCACCAACTGCATCATTCTGTAGTCTGTTTCGATTATCATCATCGTCATCATCCTTTCATCTACTTCATCATTCTGTTATTTGTATGATCAACATCATTGTCATCATCATTCTGTAATCTTCATGAGTAACATCATTGTTGTCATCTTTTCGTCAACATCATCATTCTGTAATTTGCATGAGTATCATCATTTTCTTCATCCTTTCATTGTCATCATAGTTTCATATCAACATCATCATTCTGTGATATGTATGACTAACGCCATTGTCTTCATCCTTTCATCAACATCATCAGTCTGTAACCATCAGCATTACATTTACAGCATGTCATTTCAGCATCATAACCCATAATCGTCATCATTCACCAAATCATTCTGTAATCACCAGCATTGTTAACATTGCCATCGCTTTCAATCATCATTTTGATGAATGATTGTCTTGTCTCACACGCATGGCAATATTTAAAATATGGTTGTAACCACTCATTCATAATGATGTTCGATTGATCTTTAGCTAAGATTGAAACTAAACTGTGTATATGTACAAACAATCCACCTTCGTTTTCGCCCTGCGGTTTCCAGGAAAGATCATATTCGCTCGTCCATCCCATTTTGACCACAGAAAATTGTTATTGTGCCAAGCACGTCTGCCAGTCGAATGAACACGATACCAAGGCCAATGTTGTGATAAATAATAAGTCCCCTTTTGCCACACCTTAAAGTGATTCATTCATCAGAATGTTTGTCTTTCGTGCTTCATACAACATCCCCGAATCATGCTTCAGAGTGAAAATTCACGATTTGAGAAAATATAGGGGCGGAAGTGACGACAATCTTTCGTAAATACTGTCAGTAACTGCTAGTGGTCTACATAATTAGTCTGTCTTGAATTAGAGACGAACCATTCGCCAGAGCTATATTTGTAAGGGGTGTGGACGGCTGTTGATGAACTTTATCGTCTAGTAAGGGTCTACTTATTTAGTCTGTCTTAAATTAGAGACGAACCATTCGCCAGAGTTATATTTTGAAAGGGGTGTGTGGATAGCTCTGTCATCTAGTAAGGTACAATTTAGATGGTTATACAAATACAAGTGTCTGAAATTGAGCTCTATCAACTAGTAAAGTAACAATTTAGATGACCGCATCCCTTTAATAGGATAAAACTACGTGCTGAGCCTTCAATATAATGTAAGTGTCTTATGTAATCTGTATGAACAACATAGATAACGATAGAGACATTTTACCAGTCTCCACTAGATGGCGAGATAAAACGGAGAAAACAGTTATTTAACTTCTTACGATTTCTCTCCAAAAAGTGACCAAATTATTGAAATTATGCTCTAAATTATCGTATTTAATTGGATTCTGTTTTTGGTTTTAGGAAATGACAGTTTTTGAGGAAGATAAAAGGAATATAATGGGAAAGAAAGGGGGCGTATCTAGGATGTAATTTTAACTATTGAAACTGTGGACTACGTCATCGGTTAATATCATTATACGGCTTTTACATATTATGGGATTATTGTTCAATACAGGTGAGATTTTTTACTTTTTATCTGAAGAGGGGTGGGAGACTGGGATGGGTTCAGTTAACAGCCCCCCCCCCCCCCCCTTTCCTTCTCGGGACATACACATACACACACTCTCCCCTGGGACTTTATCATACATCCGCTGATGTCTTACGACTCGTTTTGGACAAGGACATAATTTTGCAGTTTTGGAAATTATTACGTTAAAAAACCAGTCCACATTCCAGAACAAATGAGCAGCCATTCGGCAATCCGCAGAGCGATAGCAGAACTTTCATGGTAGTCCGTTTGATGATCAGACTCTCCCGGATGAATCTAGTTCTGGCAATCGTAGCAGTTGCTCTCAAAGTCTTGCCAAGGCTCGTAGCTACAGGGGGGCAACCGACCAGTTTCATTGCTGCAACTAAACACCATACTCCGAACAATCAAGTCTGGCTACGGGCCCGGTCTGCCAGTCTCATTTGATTAGAGTGATGTTCAGATCTCTAACCTTCTGTGTCTGTTGATATACTGATGATAAGATCAGATCAGATCACAAACATATAAAGCCCTGTTATCAAACCAGTCTTATCAATCGTGATATACTAATCAAAGATAATCAGTTTGAGTATTCCTCAGATCGTCTTTCAGAAGATCGCGACATCGTCACTATAGATTTGTTTTCGGGTACACATCGTACCATTGCTTTTAGCTGCGCCTTTTCAACAGAATGATGTCTTGATTGGTCGTGGTCTTAATTTTCAGACCGCCCTAAACTGGGCTTAGCGTAAAGACTTTTTAAGGTTGCCCGGGTTCCATTCTGGTGTCTATTCCTGGTCAGAATTCATCTTAATGAATTTCTTCAATGGGGCGAGGAGAACCATCTCGGACACTCCATGAGTGGATTCCGCATACTGAACCTCAAGTTATGCCCCAATTAGTCCCAATGTGTACCTTCAGTTCAAGGGAGCTCGTACCGCAGCTGCATGAGACCGTTATGCATGCAACTTGTGACCATTGGGTCCATTTTATGTCTTCCCAAATTCCCGACGGCAAAAGATAAGGGATAAGAGATACAACTGACTCAAGACGAAATAACAATCTTGTACCAACAGGGGATATTTTTCATTGCATATTTAGCCCTTTTCTCTGTGTTCCACAAGAATAATGAAAAAATAGTAAAAATGATTCACAGAAAATTGAGCCTTGAAATTTGCGAAATAACAAACTTGTACCATCAGAACAGGGAATATTTTTATTGCACGATCGAGCTCTTTTATTCACGAGAATAACAAAGTGAAAATCATTCACAGAAAATTCAGCCCAGAAATTTGCCCGACATTTTACGAATTGTAACCCAATTTCAAAGGTCAAAGGTGAACAAGTCGGGGTTTACATGTCGGATGTCTTTGTTTAGATTCATAATATATATTATATATATACATATCAATTATGATAATGAATCATTTTTAAGTTTTAAAGAGACACAGTCGCCTGGTATTTAAGAGTAAAATGTGTGTGATGAAACTGGAAATTTTTTATAAAAGCTTGTTGATTTGAGTTTTGAAAAAAAGTAAACAGTCTTCAGAAGTACTAAAATGTAAGAAACTCACATTATCCCTTTCAAAATTCTTCAAACTAGGAATTTTACTCACTATTTCTATATAATATGTCTTTTCTATATATCACACGAGTCGTCATTTTAACACTCCAACGCGGAGAATTATAGACACAAGTGGATTTAAAGGTTTCAATTTCGACTGTGAGCTGTGAATACTACTTATTGATTGGTTTAGCAAAAAAAGAAAAAGAATTTCCTTTTCTGAGATTTAGTGTACAATTGGTCAGTACAATTGGTCAAAAAATGGCGCATCTGTCCCTTTAAGTCGAGGAAAAGATTCAGAATGGTTGTGAACTAGGTTCGTGTGTGTTAATTCCATGTTAGAACTATACGTATAGTTTGTTTGACTGTAATCAAATTCATATCCAATGCTGAACAAAAGCATTTTTTCATCTTTTAGTCGAGTTTCAATCTGTTATAATAAAATCGATACTTATTGCAACTTTAAATCAATAATGCGTCAGAACATATGACACAATTTAAAGATGGGTTCCCTTATTTTTCTTTTATAAAAATGTAAATGCTAATTCTTATATGAATAGAAAGTAGAGGTGTTGGAAAATACCTGTTTATCTCGCATGTCCATAATTAATTTATAATTAACTAAATTAGAAGAGAATTACCAGCAGAATTCTAATAAGTGACCGATCAAGAAAGGTCAAAAAGTCTTTTTTTGTTTGCCCAGACTGTACATACCTATAGACATTTTTGAATAGTTACAACTCTTAATTATATGCAATGAGAACATAATGATACGATTTAGAAAAACCAATTAATCAAATAGTTTGCTTAATTTGACTCTAAAAAATAAGGAAACCTATCTTTAAGCTATACAATAAAATCTACATATTATACTGTCACTTTAAGTCAAATGATAATGCGTCATAAACTATATTTAAAGGAAACACTCATTATTATATTATTTTATGGTAAAATCGCCAATGTGGTTGACCTATTTTGTTTCAATCGTCCGATCTTAAAAAGTTATCATTATTATCTTGGATATGATTAATTGGATTCACAAGTAGTTATCTCGCCTTTGTATGTATATCAGGGATACTTACTATATACTTATAGCTTCTATTTACATCATTCTGATTTTCTAGTCTTTATATGTGTATCAGAGACACTTATAGCTTCTATTTTCACCATTCTGATTTTCTAGTCTTTGTATATGTACTAGAGCATAGTTATAGCTTTTATTTACACCATTCTGATTGTCTAGTCTTTGTATATGTACAGAGACACTTATATCTTCTATTTACACCATTCTGATTTTCTAGTCTTTATATGTGTATCAGAGACACTTATAACTTCTATTTACACCATTCTGATTGTCTAGTCTTTGTATATGTATCAGAGACACTTATAACTTCTATTTACACCATTCTGATTTTCTAGTCTTTATATGTGTATCAGAGACACTTATAACTTCTATTTACACCATTCTGATTGTCTAGTCTTTGTATATGTATCAGGTACACTGATGTATGTATTTCAGGGATACTTACTATATACTTATAGCTTCTATTTACATCATTCTGATTTTCTAGTCTTTGTATATGTATCAGGGGACAGTTATATCTTCTATTTACACCAATCTAATTTTCTGGTTTGTGGATGTGTATCTGATTCCAGATACTCTTTTTAGAATATAAATGCACAATATGAGTAATGATTTACTCATTCCTTCAATATGACTTGTATGTATCAGATATTCTGTTTTCTTTTTATTCAGAACGATGAGTAACAGAAACCCCAAACAAGAAAACGGTGGGAGTAAAATACAACATGTCAAACTTGTCCTTCTGGGTGATCAGGGTGTGGGCAAATCAAGTATTGCCCTGAGGTTCGTGAGGGGCGAATTTTATGAAAATAGTGAAGCTACGGTGGGAGGTAAGTCTATAAAGCAAATATAACACCACACACCCCTTAAATAACGGCTCTATGGTTGGTTGGCAGGTGACAAGTTAGCGTTCGCTTCCAGTGGATGCTGATATCACAAACTAGGTAGTTGTTGGTAGTCGTAGTAGTTGGTAGTTCGATTGGTTCAAATTGGATGATTCTTTGTTGTAGCTCTATGGCCCTGATCCACATATTTATAACGTTACCCCTCTCTGCATTTCAGCTGCGTTTCTGACCCAAACAGTAAACGTTCAAGGTCATTCTATAAAATTTGATATCTGGGATACAGCGGGACAAGAAAGATATCATAGTTTAGCTCCCATGTATTATAGAGGAGCTCAAGCTGCTATTGTTGTTTATGATATTACCAATCAGGTAAGGGGACAGACCTTACCTTGTTACCCCTATCATTTAGGGGATGCATTCGTCGGATAAATCCTAATCGGCTTACGTTTTCAGCTTCAGTTCCACAAATACCAACAGTGAAGCGGCATACATGTGGCAAAGGTTTTTTCTGTGTGCAAATTTGCGTACCACCCAAAGAGGCCACACTTTCCCTCCCTCACAACCTCCCATTATCCCAATGTCCATCTTTTGAATCTGCCTCCACACGTCATATTGGTACATGTTGATTTCTTTATTTCCAGAAATCCTATGATAGAGCCGTGGCTTGGGTCAAAGAATTGAGGCAGCAGGCAAATTCTCAAATTACAATAGTTCTGGCGGGAAACAAGGCCGATATGGCGCACGACTCACGAGCTGTCCAAATCGAGGTACATTTTCTTTTAGCTCCACCAACTTTCTCTGATGAAGAAACAGAAACAATTTTCAGAAATAACGAAAATTTCCACGGATAAAACTAAGCTATTTAAGAACTATCAAGTTCTTCAGGATCTACTTGATCATCCTTGGTCAAACCTCTTGACACTGATCTTTGATAAAACCTTTTAACCTTTGGCCTAACATATGCATAATAACCTAAGTTCCCAAGGACCCTGTCTGTCTGGACCCAGTGGTCCCCGATCAACAATAATCTTGGCAATAATATAAGGATAGCAACTTATGTTCCAAAAAGTAAAAAATATATTCATAGACTACCTAATCTAAAGTGATTAGAATCCTTTATTCTGCTTTCTTTCAGGAAGCAAAACATTTTTCTGAAAGTAATGATCTAGGATGGTTTGAAGCGTCAGCTAAAACTGGGATGGCTGTTGGAGATATCTTCATGTCTGTAGGCAAGTAGTGGTCAAATTTGAGTAATATACTGCTTTCGCAGAGGCAGCACCAATGGGGGTAAAGCTAGAAAAGTACCCCCACTTTCAATAATTTTCAACAAATGCACACAATCAATTCATTTTTTCTAAAATTTTCTGGAGAGAACCCTCTAAGACGCTCTATGAGAGGCTTGCGACTATAACACCACCATAGAGTAGCCAAAATTTGAATTTTGAGTCAGTCTGCCCCCTCTTTGTACCCCTAATCTCGGAAGGCTGGTGTCGCCACTGACTGCTTTATATGTAGTCTACATTCTTCTATTCATTTACGTTAAGAGTCAAGAACAGGGTTGCATCTAGAAAATGCCTGAGGAGGGGACCAAAATGAGAAGCCAACGTATTTCAGGTGGCCTGGGGTGACTTTTGACCATTAGGGGAACTTAATTTTCACTTCAAAATTAGATATATCACAGGTCCGAGGGAGGGGGGCATGGCCCGATGACCCTCCCCCTAAAAAGGCCTACGCTACTACATTCTATTTTACTATAGTTCAAAGGTAGGCTAAGCAGGGACACAATTTTCTGGAATAAAAGCAACAGATAGACCGGAAATTGGTCTTTGTTGAATAGCCTTAGCCTTATTATGTGCTCAACACTGTCCCGCTTGGGGACCTTTGGGATTTACCTTATTTTTCTGATAAGTTGGTTATCATTTTATTTCAGCCAAACAACTGGCTCAAAGAATAGAGTCGGGAGGTCTCATGGACAACAAATCAAAAGGCGTAAAACTAAAGAAAGGAAACAACGGGGCCTCGGAAAATCGAAAGTGTAGTTGTTAAAGTTATGGTACAGATTGATTTGTGTGGGGGGTGTGTGGAGGGGGGTATTCGGTAAAAGATAGCAGACTCACTTGTCAGGAGCGTGCTACAGGATTCTTAATTGTGATAACTGAAAACATATAGTGACACAGGTGCTACATGAAAGTGTAATTATTGTAAATAATGGAACTTAAATATTCGTGTGGCAAAACCTATATTTGTGATATGTTAAAACATTCAACTTCAGGATGAAAAATTATTGTCATGGCAGCCTTTAGGCCTCGAGTTTATTTGGATTATTTTCCATTAGGCCTAGGCCTACATGCTTCGTGTAACAATATTCATTTCAGAAAAAAAAGCATCACTGCGTTGCTAAAAAATACATAGGCATAGGCCAGCTCTATCCACATTTGACTGACTCTATTTTCACAAAATGGCCCACATTAGTTCAGTCAACCAAGAGTTATGTCCCGTTTTTTTGGACGGTACTATTTTGTGACAGAGATGATAGGATTGCACGTAGTTATCAGACTTACAAACACCCTTTTGCAAAATGGCATGATCCAAAAAAAGAGATTTGATAGGAAATGACGTCATACGAAGGCAAAAGTCAACACAAATCAGTTCTATGAAGTTGAAAAAAGCTGACGTTTCGTCTGTGAAAATGGAAATGGCAACTCTGTGATGATGTATTTGTAAGTTTATTACATTGAATTTTATTCTTACTTGAATCATGAATTGTAATTGAATATAAAAGACCAAACCAGAAAGGCCTACAACATTTGGTTCTGCCATTTGGATTCAGACCACAAATATTTTCTATTTTGTGTATAAAATATCTGATAATGTGTTCTGTGCTGGGAACAAAAGCTTAAGGAATTCTTCCGAAATTTGTGGAACCAATCAGTAAGCTCTGAAAAAGTTTTTAATGGAATCAAGATTAAAAGACTTAAGACAATTTTTTTTCTTGATATGTGAATACGGAGGAGACCTTATTGTGTATATTGTACAAATGGTTTTTGATTTCTGCATTTTTTTTGGAAATCAATGAATCTTTTTTACAAAAATAACATTCTGTTTGACTTATAATTTATGAAAGTATTAGTATTTGTCTATGTATATCAATATGTAAGCACGTTACATTACAATGTATATTTATAAGATTTTATGACGTTTCTAAAAGAAACTGATGAATCAACCTGTTTCCATGGTAACATCAATCTGATTGAAATACATTTTATATATTGTTTATTTTTTTTATGTGATAGAAACTCACTGTAATATTTATACTACAAACATTTCTAATTTATATTTGATGGAAACTGACTGTATTTTCACTACCCACATTCCTGTCAAATGAACTAAAATTAATTGATTACCACTGAATTACATGGGGTTGCTTGATTGGTGAGTTCTGCACATTCAGAATTCATGGAATCAACCGGACGTTCAATAAAACAAGTTGAAACGCGTTCCATATGTGCATGAAAAATAGTGCAGAAAAATGCAATAAGTGCAGACAGAATTCAAAATGAAGTAAATAGATGAGAAAATTTTGAATATAACATTATCCGCTTTTATACTCTTTATTAATAGCAGAATTGGAACAGACGGAACTCTCCAATCAAGCATCACCCATGTGCCTAACCTTGTTCCAAGAGACAGATATTTCTATGTAAGAACGACACTAAATTTTGTTGAAAATTTGTGGAAAGACATTGATGACTGTGTTTCATGATCATACTGAGATATTATAGGCTTGGCAAGCCACATATGAATTCTTTTGTATAGAAAATGTATAGAAATTTTGTCAATTGCTGCCCGCAAAACACAGCCTCGTGCCCCAAACCATTGTCTTTTGTAATGTGGATCTATAAAGACTTGCTGTTTAGCTGGCAGAATGAGTATATTATTTTCCCTTTCAATATCATAACAAAAATATATTGAATATATAAACAACATATTACAACAATAGCTATCAGAACATCCCTTCATAAGATTTAAAGAGTTTGTGAAGAAGTTTTTTAGATATTTTATGTGTATCTGGGTCAATGGTAACATCAATTTGCATCATTGCAATTTTCAATCAGACGTCTGTGGTTCCTGCAATTCTTCTAAAACTATGTGTTTGATGACGTCACTAATCACAAAATATGCTTTATCACATCACCCTTCACAATTAGAGACATCATCAAACATTTAGTTTTAGTGGAATTACAGGAATCACAGATGTCTGATTGAAAATTGGAACGGTGCAAATTGATGCTTTCGGTGTCCCCAATACACATAAAAATTTAAAAACCTTTGCACAATACCTTTAAGAGTAAAATGCTAGTAAAATCTATAACTTAGCTTAATATAACAAAACAATTTCTAAAGATAATAAGTTTGATAGCTTCAAATTAGTAGTAACAGAAAATATTAATATAGTCACAAGAGTTCAATAAATCTGTTTTTTAAACAAAAATTCTGATTGAAAATTGCCATTTACGCTTAATAAATTAGATTTGACAGTTATCTTGTTTCTTCCCAAATAATAACTGCCTATGCCTATAGCTAAAAGATAATTGAATAAAACACACATCCAAAGGGTTTCTGTTAATGACATCAATGGAAGATTAAAAGCTTAAATATTTGCTCAATAATACGTATTATGTAAACTCCGTATTCAATCCAGAGAGTTCACAGAGCTCATAATGTTTTTACGGTCAATTCAGCATCTCATTCAAAAGAGATTTGACAGTTATCTTGTTTCTACCCAAATAATAACTGCCTATTCCTATAGCTAAAAGATAATTGAATAAAACACACATCCAAAGGGTTTTTGTTAATGACATCAATGGAAGATTAAAAGCTTAAATATTTGCTCAATAATATTTTATTATGTAAACTCCGTATTCAATCCAGAGAGTTCACAGAGCTCATAATGTTTTTACGGTCAATTCAGCATCTCATTCAGAAATTCCACATACATGTTATCAGCATTTCAAAATTTTGTTCTCACAAAAATTCCAACAATAATCACTTTACTGGCTGTCATCCATACAAGATTTGCTCCAGCCCTATGCAGCAAGGCACTGTCAACACATTTCACTGGATAATTGTGATGAAGGTAGTCTAGAACGCTTAGTCCTATTAAAATGATCCACCAAACAACAAGTAAAAGAGTATTATTGTCACGAATTACCCACACTCTCATTCTGGTCTATGTCAGTAAATATCTGAAAGCAAAAATAAAAATTTTCTTCAGAGTAATTATTCATTTAAACAATGGATATACAGGGGATATTTTTAAAATTTTGGGGGGCTATTTATGCGTTTTGTAATCGAACATTACATTTTAAAACAATTACAATTTAAAGGGATACTATGTCTTAGAATAAACATAAACTTAAAAAATTTTTAACTTGGTCGAAAAGAGCATATATTCATCAGTAGATATACCTGGTGTCATAAATAACATAACAGGATCCTTATATAATCCGTTAAATGCAAAAAAACTTTTTAAAAATGCAATTAACTATTGAAAAATGCTTAATATTATGATTAAGCATTTTTCAATAATGACTTAGTTTTATGAATTTTCTAGATTTGACAGGGATTCTGTTGTAACTTTATGACACCAGGTAAGTTCACTGATGAATATATACTCATATTGACCATTCTTGAGAATTAAATTTTATGTTCATTCTAAGACGTAGTATCACTTTACGTTGTTCTATCCAGTAAGGCTAGGCTATCTTGAGATGATAGAAGGGAAAAGCGAAGAGAAACTCACGAAATAGTAAGGATTTATTGGAATGGGGATCGGTTTTGAGCTTATGAAGACAATTTACACCATACAGTGTACAATGGAGGAATTGTTTTTCAAAACTCATTTTGTATCTCTTAGTTTTCCCTGTGTACTCAAGCTGATCTTATGTCATGTGTTTCAGATATGAAACCCTCATCATTCAAAAGGATCATTTACAAGAATGACAAAAAATTCTTACATCAATAAGATTATCCAATCCACTAAGAAACCCGTCTTCGTGGTTACCTAGCAACCATGGTAGATTGTGGTAGAGTATCATTCCATTTTCCACAGGTATTGTCTTGGCGAAGTCTATTAACCACACCCCACAATGGCCACTTTCATCATACATGATCAACAATGAACTACCTATGATCTGCAATAACATTGGAATGAGATGAGTTTTTTCCACCTTTTTTTGCCCCTTTAAGACCAAAATGCCCCAAGGCAATACCATGCAGTGCTCAATCAGTAAAAAATTTACACAGGCCTTCTCTTTTTCCCCCCTTTCCAAATGTAGAGGGATCTTTATCTGCAACGCCTTTCGAACACATGATCTCTGTTTATATTTCTTTTTGGGCTTTTTGGACATTTTTATGAAAATAAGTAAAATCTGATATCCCATGTCAATTATGAGATATCGTCAAAATCTTTTTTGAGAATCCCTACTAGTACATGACAGAAATCTTATAGTTACTTGGATAAATGGAAACAGAAAAAATTCAAAATGAATTCATCCATGCCCCCTTGCATCAATGCCCCCCTTGCATCACTGTCCCCCCCTTGCATCACTGTCCCCCCTTGCATCAATGGCAGAAATAACCCAATACATACCTCATGATGTTTGAAGAATTCTG